GGCCTGACCTCACTCCTCTCTGCAGGGAGTTAGTTATAGAATATTGTCCATGAGGTTTTGTAAATGAGGCCCTTCAGCCAAAACCCAGTCACCTTGCTGAGTCAATGAGAGGGAAAAGGCCAAAGTCTCCAGGATCCATCTTATTAGGCACGGTAAACAAGGAATGCTTTAAGGATGCTTTTGGGTGCACTAGTTGGATGCACTAGTTTATTTTTATTGTTGACACTATTGTAGATGCGACCATTCCCCTCCCTCCACGTTTGTCCACCTTCTCCAAGGCCCCACCCCCACTTCCCTCTGGTCCTCACCATGCCATTGTCTGTGTCCATGGGTTGTGCGTATATGTTCTTCAGCTCATCCCTTCCCCTTCTTTCGTTCAGCCTCCCACCTCCTTTCCTCTGACAGCTGTCAGTCTACTGTTTCTGTTTTGCTTCTGCTTCTGTTTTGTTCATCAGTTTATTTCTTTCATTAGATTCCACATGTAAGTGAGATCATATGGTGTTTGTCTTTCTCTGACTGGCCTATTTCACTTAGCATAATAATTCTCCAGGTCCATCCATGCTGTCACAAAAGATAAAATGGAAAGGTCTATGCACAGTGATATTATCTGACATGCTCAGCTGAGTCTTGTTTGGCAAAACACTTCTTTATGCAGTGCTGTTATCTCAGTCACTCTCCAGAAATAGGGGCAGATCAAAGTGAATGACAAGGCTGTCCTATGCTGTGGTGTCTCCCAGTATGTTTTCTGCAAATGTGTTACAATTTCCACCTGCCTCTTGAAGGGCCATTTTTAGTTAGCTTCAGAACCAGGGAAGTCTATGGTGTGAGAAATTATGTGAGCTCCTATGAATATGGACAGAGTTCCCTCTAGATTCTGAGAAACAAGGCCTCCCTCCAGAGGAAGATTTTGAGCATTCCTAGAAGCTACTCTGTCCTTCCCAAAGAGCCACTGAGTCTAATAACGTGAGGCCCCATCACAGGGAAGAGTCTCATAAGACCTTCACATAGAAGTTGCTACAATCTTATCTCCAGCTGAGAGTCCAGCATCTAACTCAAGCCCTGAAAAGGGGAAGCTGAAGCTGTTCATCACAGTATCCCCTGAGGTGTCTGTGGTTGAACTGTTTCACTTCTCCTTAGAGGTCTGCCTCTGAAGAGGAACTCAGCAGCAGTCCTGGAGAGGGGTGCACACACACGCACCCGACATGCTTCCCTCAGTGAACACACGTCCCAGATGGCCTTTTCCATCTGCGTGCTTCACACCAATTTGTCACCAACGCGGCTGCTCCATGTTTCGTGGGGCGATGTTTCACTTTATCCCCCTCCTTCACATTCCCTGTTGGAAAAATAACTCTGTATTTTAAATATTTTAGACCCAGCAGCAGCAAATGTTTTCAGGCTTTAGATAACACCACCAGTGCTAGGAGAGGAAGAGTGTCAGTCAGGCAGCTATGATGCCCAGTTCAAGAAAAAAACAGGAAAAGGAAAAAGCAGCAAATCATTGCTGGTTGGGCTGTCACCAGGTGTCACTCAGAGACATCCCCTTCGTGCATGCAAACTCCCATTGCTGGGTTTGAAAGAGGAACGCTTAGGGTTTTCTAGGAGCAAAAGAGATGATCTTCTCTAGCTAAAGAATAGAAGCATTTCCATTACTTTCTGAGGGGGTTTGTGGGGAAAATAAGTAACTCTAAGAAGAATAGTGTGTGTCTGATGGGGTTGTGACTGAGATTTCGAAACTGAGGAAGACTAAAGAACCCATTTTAGGAAGCGACTGTCATTTAGTGGCTGTGCCTTTGTGACACAGGATTGTTCTATTTCAAAAACTGAGGTTAAGGAACAGAAAGGTTTCTTCAGCATACGTTGGGGAAGAAAATTTTTCCTATGCCTCACAAAGGTTCTTTGGCTTGTCTAATAATCAAATAGACATGAGAGAAATTAACAGGAGAAAACTTCATTTCATTTCATACATATATGAATCCCCTCCACACTTCCCCACACACACACACACACACACACATACAAGAGGTTCCAGGACAGAAAGGTAAAATGAGGTACATATGCCATCTTGAGGCAAATGGAACAGGTACCTGGGGCTTTAGAGGTGAGGAGGGTGACTCACAGGTTGATGAGGAGAGCAGATGTTCGGTAATTAGATGTTCCCCCTGACATACAGGTAGGACATAAAACTTTATTTCTGAGAATACTTCATTTTGGTGAAGGCCAGGATCTAAATCCCTTAAGGGAGAGGTGAAAGCAATTCTTAAGCTTGGAGGGTCTGAAGTGCCTTTAGCTCAAAAGAATCCTCATGCCCAGGTGACACATTCTGGGGAGGCCTGCTCTGGACCCCTTCAGGTACATCAGATAAACCAGCTGGTCTCTCCTCAACCCCCAGCTGGTAACTGCTGTGCTTCCCCAGTTCAGCTCCGGAACAGTTTGTATAAGTGGGAAAGAAAGAGTGAGGCGAGATCTCATGTCTCGGCTCATTTTCTCCCCATGGTCAACGTCCTCACCTTTGTCTCCTTGGTTCTTTGAAAGCAGAAAATTCTGAAAATGTTCTGGCCGCCACACCTGGCGGGAAATCACTCAAGCTGAACCTGTCACCCTCTTAATCCACTTATGATGACAGAGTGCTGATTTGCACATCTAATTACTGAAGCCTAATTACTGCTGTACTGAAATCAATGTGGCACAATAAAATACACACCACTTTCCCGGGAAGGAGAGCCCTCAGTCATTCCCCTTCTCCTGACCTTAGTGGTGAACTTATTTCCATTCTTACTCGAGAGATTCAAAGTCATCCCTGTCAGGCATCCAAATTTTTCGGCCCAGACCTAAAACCAGCCTTGTGACGTTGCAGGTAATGAAGTTTGGCTCCAAAAGTGGAAATTACTAATTTATTAGTGTTCTTTGAGGTGGAAAATAGGCATGTAGATAAAGGGAAACCCTTTAAAGTCTTTAAAAAAGCACTTTTGAAATGTTCCACACCAGGGGTTACTAATAAATGTAAAACCTATATTCCTAGGATGGGGGAATACTCTTTTATCTGAGAAAATGAACCGGCATGAGAGATAAAAATAAAATGCTCAGAATATGTATGATCTTTGCTTGTATAGAAAAAAACTGGGAGGGAAAAAGAATTGGGTTTCTTAGGATTAGTGTTACAATGGATAAGGTTGAACATGTTTAATGTGTGGTATTGATGCTTTTCATTGTCAAGACTAACTCACTCCTAAATGTTTTGACTCAGTAGGTCAGACACATGACCCAGGAATCTGCACTTTAAATTCTTGACTGATAGTCTTATAATGATGCACTCCACTAAAAAATACATGAGTTAAGCCTATTGTTCCTTATAACAACCCCAGGAGATATTACGATGACCCCGTTATGTAGTAAGAAACAGCGGCACAGAGCAATTAAATGATTTCTTCAAAACCACACATTTAGTGGCACAGCTACACATATATATATATATATATATATATATATATATATATATATATATATATATAAAAATGTTTTCATTGATGCCCTAGAACAAGCAAATGGGCATCCTTGCTGATTGTTTGCTAAAAATGCTGCTTTCATTTGCAGCCTGTCTGATCTCCAAAACACTGTAGTAGAGTGACTTCTATTGGACATAGTAGTTCACTTACTCACAGACTCGGTTTTATTCAAGTTTCAGGAAATATTTCCTAGCTTTCATTGACTTTTTTGCTTTATTGCTATTTTTGGAATGCGCAGCCCTGTTGGTAAAGAAAGCATTAATGATATGAAAGAATAAAATAGCAACAGATCACTGAGTTTTCCTCTTCTCAATTGCTGGTTAGGAGTCCATTTCCCTTTCCCCTTCTGCTGTGTCTGTGTGTTCAAAAACAGTCAAACAACTCCCTAGATTTATGGGAGGTTAGCAGACAGAAATAATGGGGGAAGGAAGGAAAACGTGCATTCATTCTCAAAGGAGCACCTAAAGAAGAAATGATAAAATCATATGTTTAATGCAATGGACCAAATGCTGGGGGAGGCCAAGATCAAGACTGAGCAGAGCTGCCTTGATTGGCTAACAGGTATCTTCACATCTCCCAGCGATCACAGGATGTGAGGGTGTGGAGACTGAAGGTAGAGCCACAGGATAATCACCCATTATTTCAGGGTGACTTCAATCCAGCAAAATCAAGTTTGTGCCAAGTCCTGGTTCGTGTTAGCTCTGAGTTAACAGAAAGGGCAGAAATTTTGAACTTCAAGGTTTCCATTTATTAATGAACTTACATTGCTGTGCAATTAATTATCTTGACTGTCAATTGCTATACAGGTGTTTCATATGAGTGACTTTCCTTGGCACTAATGTTAGAGACGCTTGCTGTTCTCTCTGCTCTTAGACACTTAGCAAAGGCCTAGGCATCAAGAATTGAACTGAATTTAATGAACTATATTAAACCAATGCATCTTTAACCTGCTCACTGTCTGTCTTTGTGACAGGAAAAAAAAGGATTTATCTAATTTTGTGTTATTCAGTGGAAGGGTTCGACTTTTTTGTTGGATTGCCAAAGGTGGGTGAGAGAGGCTGCGGGGTGTACAACATATCACGCATTGGAGTCATCTCCGTATTCTCATGCACTTTCATAAAAGCGAGTCTGGTCCCCGGCTTCAGAGAGCTGTCATTGTGCCTTTATCAAATGGGTTAGTACCTAGATATAACAAGTGCTCTTTGAATTTCTCATTAGAATGAAGAAATAATACTCCAAGGCTGATCTGAACACAAAAAGTTTGCATCCTAATTTTTTATGGAGATCCCAAATTCCATGAAGCACCATAAAGTCATTGTAATTGAATGCCTATCAAAACCCTGGGCACTGACCCCTGTTTAAAACGAGGAAAAAAAAAAAAAACACCTCTCCCTCCAACATGCTCGTCAATGCCCCGAGGTGGTAAACGATCCGTGAATAGTTTAGCACAGTTGTGTGTTTAAGAAGCCTAGAGGATTGATTCTAACATTTTCCCACCTGGAAAAACGGGCATCGGGCATCTTCGGCCATTGAAAGCAGCACTGCGCTCTTCCCAGCGTGTCTTGTGCCACTTTTCCAGCGATCCTTTACTTGCGGGGATGGGACTGGGTGGTAACTGTAAAGGTTCTGATGCAGAAACTGCAGATGGAGAGCAGGGCTCTGGGGATGGACGTGGAGAGGAGCGGAAAGGAGCCTGGAGAAAAGGCTGTCATATTTGCTCAGAAAAGCCGCCAAATGAGAGAGCAGAGACGATTTCATTGGAGGAGCGCCTCCGACTGCAATTAATCCTGTCATAGTGCAAGAAAATTGTAAATGTTCTCTCCAGAAATTGTCCGCCCATTGCAGCTAATCGAACATACGCGCACGAACAGAGACGCGCTCTCCTGCCATACCAAAGGCGCTGGGTGCAGGGACTCACTCCAGGGAGCGCACGCGCGCGCGCGCACACACACATGCACACACGCGCGCACACACACGCCAGCCTGCGGGTTGGCCAGCATCTGACAACCGCAAATCCCAGTAGGAAATAGCCACAGGCACTGAAGTAGGTGTTGGCGCTACTCTAATTACTACTTTCCCGAGCACTTTGGTGAAGAAATGAATCCCGCCCAGCTCGCCGGTCCACCCAGGTCTCGGTTCTGTTTTGTTCTCCAGACTCATCTCCGGGAAAGCCAGGTTTGAAAGTCTTTCTTGCTTCTCCTTGGGTGGTTTGGTGTGTGCGTTGGGTTGCAGGGGGCAACGTTAGTGTCATTTCAGCTTAAACCGACTCGGGGTTCCTGGCTCGCCTAGTGACTCGGACCTGAATGAGGTGCGTGACTCTGGCCGCTGGTGCCAGAGCCCCACAGCTCTCACGAATCTTTGGGTCCGCTCTCTCCCCGCCTCCCCTGCCCCACCCCTCCGGGTGTCGCGGCACTAACTAATCTTTTCCTTTTCTCTCTCAAGATCAAGGGAGACAGCCAGCCAGCGGCTGGATTAGGACTCTGAGCCCTGCGCAGCCCGTGCCCGAGCAGGTCAGCCCCGAACCCTCGAAGGACTCCTCACTCTTGTCATCCTGCCTCAGGGAAATCGCAGTCCGGGGAGGCAGCTGGAGCCAAACGGGCAGCAGGTAAGAGCACTGCTCTGCCCAGCTCTGGGCTCCTCCGCGCCAGGGTCCCTGGCACAGCCGGCTCCCTCCGATTCTCCAACACTCGGCGCGCAGTGGCCGGGGCTTGACAAACAGGATGCTGGTTCTCCACAAGTGCAGATTCTCAAACGGAAACTTTGGCTCCTGGGGCTTGGAGAGCTGAGGGCAGCGATGGCGGGTCTGGAAGGAAGGGGCAAAGGAGGCACCGCGCAGGGCAGGGGTGTGATTCCGCGGGTCACTGAGTCCCGCGGACGGTGGGAGGCAGCCTGGGCGCCACTCTTTGCAGTGGGGATCGCTCTCTCTTCCCGCCCTTCACCCCCAATCTGTCACCCGACCCTCTCCCCAACCCCGAGACGCCGGCACGAAAACAACAAGGAGAGCTTCACCCTCTCCTACCGCTCTCCCTTCTTTCCGCCTGGAGTCTGGCCACGTCTTCCAGGCGTGCGGGGTGGAGGCCAGACTCGCCCGGGGTTCCGCTCTTTGGTGTTGCGGTTCGTGGACCACGACCAAGGAGCAGCGGGGTGGGTAAGAATGGGTTAACGGTTCCGGGACAGAGGTGGGGGTAGCCTTCTGCCACCCCACCCCGCATCAGCTCCATACCCGAGGCCGGCTGCCCGCCTCGGCGTGGGGACAGGGTCTCAGCGCGGAGCCCACGAGATCCCAGACTGTGCCTGGGCTTCTACAACACCCACTCCACGATGGGCTCTTGGCTACCCTGGCAGGACTCGGTTCGTAGTAGTGGTCACTGCCTGCTCTCCCGTGTCCCTGGGCCACCCGCACCTGCGGACCTGGGCGATCAGGAATAACTTAGAGCTCGCGGCACCCCCGAGGTGCGGTCGGAGCCCTCGCAGGGTAGATCACGCAGAAATTCCACCTGTAAGCTGGAGACCGTGGGCGCCCCAGCAGGGTAGGAGGAGGCTCGCTTAGGGGAGTTCTCAGGAGGTCAATGTTCCCCCGGAATTACTGACCCAGAGAAACACACATCTCTGCCTCCGCCGCCCTCCAGGGTCCCTCTTTCTTTACCCTCCTGCCATCGCCGTCCTGCAGGCTGCCTGGAGCCACACCGTCCCTGACCCAGCTCACCAGTGTCCCCAGGTCCTGAGACCAGGGCTGTTGCCTGTGTGGAAATATCCCCTCGGCGCAGAGAGGCGGGAGGAGAGCAGAGAAATGGAGTAGACACCCAAAGCGAGCGGAACTGCCCGCAGACATCTCACCCGAGTCGCCCTCAGGTGTCCTTATGCCGGTTAGTTCACGGCCCCGGCACGTCTGTGGCGGAGGCCACCGGGGGTTACGCGTCCGCCAGCCCACGCGCGGCCAGCCCAGCAAAAGCGCAGCGGCGCTTCCCAGTCCTCCAGCTCCGGAATCCCCCCACGTTGACTTTCTATTTCCCGTTCATCTTCTCTTTTCTCTTTCTGGTTTGTTTTGCTTCTCTTGCTCTTTTTCTTAGCGCTGGGTGGCAGTGGGTACCTGGCAGCCGGCCGTGTGGCGCGTCAGTCCCCCAGTCCCCGCAGCCAGCAGCACAAACACGAGTCCCCACGCTCTACCGCACACCACCCGCGCCCCTTTATGCAGCCCCGGCTCCACAGCCCTGAGATCCCGCGGCCAGGGCCGGTCAGGGTCATGGCTGCGGCCTTGGCTCCGCAAAGGACCGAGTCAGAGGAGAACGGAGCCAACCCATTCTCCAAAAAAAAAACCCCGAGGCGCGACAGGAAAGGCCTGCGAACGACTCGAATTTGGGTCGGGCGTAGGTCGGGGGCGGGGTAGGCTCTGGGGGAAAACGGTCCTCCAGCTCTGGCTGTGGTTCCCCGCCTCTAACTCCCCTTGCCCGCGCCTCAGGCCAGAGCCCACCCCGGGGTGGGCGGCCCCTCTGCAGCCACTCAGGCAAGTCCGGATGGCTGGGTCTTGGGTGGACCAGCCCTTGACTTCACTCGGGGCCATCCTGTTTTACCAGGCGAAGAGGGCCTGTAAGTGAGGCAGCAGTTAAACTCCTGGTGCTCAGCTGGGCAGAGGCCCTGCATTGGCATTTTGTTGGCAAACTGCCTATGTGTGTGTATACATAGGATTGAAAAGCATATGTCAGGGGGTAGCACACTTTTATTGGTAGGTGCACGAATAAGAATGATGGTACACTTTAGAAACTACAGTCAGTGGTGTGTGTGTGTGTGTGTGTACACGTGAGAGACAGAGAGAGGTCTCTGGGGCCTAACAACAAGGGCACTGACAAACAGAAGTAAACCAGTTGTGTTGGCCAAGAGAGGTTCACACTGGGCTGCATTGGGCTGCAGTTCAGAAGGTGGACTTTGGAGACTCTGGTCCAGTGAAGGAAAACATTTACTGCTGACGGTGTGTCGCAGCTTTGCAGGATTTGGCAGCCAAGGACTGAAGAAGCAGTAAGTTAATGCCAGGTGAATTTGATTGTTATCACTGACATTAGTGATGTGTTCCAGTTGTGCCAGCGATAAGAAAATTCTGTGGGCTCTCTATGCTTTACTGAGTTAAACAATTATGCCACTGCCAACGGAAAAATAAAACTTGCCCCTAAAAAGGCTTTAGAAATGCCAGCCAAGTCCACTTACTGTTGTAAAATCTCAATGAGGTGGGAGTGGGGAGAGTCCTGGGACGCAGAATTGGGGGAGGCTTTAGAATGGTCCCCACAGTTTCTTGGCTTTGGGGGACAGGGATTGCCATCTTAACATTAAAATCTCCACGGCTCCACATGGGATCCTGTGCCCTTCTTTGCCAGATAACCCCCAACTGCAGGCAGGTGGATGTATGTTCAGTAGAAATTTTCTAACTTCACTTTGAGGGCAGCCAACCCCCAGGTTCAAGGGCACAGAAGGGAGAGAAGCAGCTTCAGAGGTGGGAAGAAAACAGCAGTCTGCAGCCTGCTGGCTGGCAGGGCACCCACGCCCAGGGAGGAGGAGTGGTGGGCGGATCAGGAAACACGTGGCTCTCTGACCCACGGCAGTGACCCAAGTTAAAGCAAGTGTAGAGAAGAAGAAGAGGGGAGAGGAAAATACCAGGAAATGGGAGAAAGAGGAAAAAACAAAGGGCGGGAACCTGCCCGTGTACTGTTAACCGGCACAGTTATTACCTGCCTCAGTCCTTGTGTGGGACATGCCTGGGAGAAGATGCCTATCGAATCTCCTAAACCTGACCCCTCATGCTCCAGTCTTAATCTTATCTTACTACTTCTTCCCTTGAGTCAGTAAGATCAAGAGTCCAGGAGAAACGTTTTGTTACCCAGTTCCCTTGAAGGACCAGTTTTCTCCATGGAAACTTGTATTTGAGGTAGTCAGGTATTTTATGATGTGGACTCTTTGGGTGAGTTTTCTCAGGGGACACCTATTATCAAACACTGTCAACATGCTCCCCGTGGCTACTGACACCTGGCTTTTAGTCCCCGTCACCTGTCCGTACTCTGTCTGCCTTTGGGTCATGGAGCAGGTGTTGGGACTGCTTTGATTTTAGGGTGTTGGAGCAAGGGGACTCACTGCCTACCCCAAAACCCAGTGGGTCATGTGGTTGTGATGGAGGTGGCGATTTTAGTACTGTGTGTTTTTTGTGGTGCAAAGGGAACAAGTCATTGTCCCTTAGAAATGCATTTTTAAAGAGTGTGTTCTGTCCTGGCCACTGTCCTAAGCACCTTAACTGTGTTAAGTTAGCTGTTCTCTCAGAGCTTTGTCCCCACTGTTTAAAACAGTATCTGGCACCTCCTAGGAGGTTATTAAGTATTTGTCAGCTGTGTGAATAGGTGCATCCATTTTCTCATTGCAACAACCTTGTGAAGTGGATGTTATTGTTCCCATTTTACAAATGAGGAAATCAGAGCTCAGAGGGTCAGGGAGTGGCCCCATGTTACACAGCGAGGAAGCCTCAGCCCCCGGGGTTCAAACACAAGCCTGGTGGACTCCCGTCTATCTTCTGCTGTGCTGATTGGCTCCATGGGCTGTTGGAGTGCTGTTCATTCTGTGTTTGGGAAATCAGAAGTGGCATTCAGGGTCTGACGGTGTTCTTCTCCTTTCGCTTCAGTTCTGCATAATCTTGTTGGATCTCTGGACCCTAAGGAAGGAAGGTTCAGAGCCAACTAGATTCTCAGGTGGCCCAACGTGCTTGTTCCGATCGATCAGCGATTGCCTCTGGCAGAGGAGAGGAAAACGAGGGTGCCAAAGTTGCCTTAGATTTTGGCAGATGCTGTTTCTACCTATAGCTATACTAAATTTCCTTTGTCTGGTGCGAAAGGATGAAAGAGAATTTTGAGATCTTCCCATTTAACTCACAGTACGTGCTGTGGAAGTGGACAAGAGGCTTCGAAATGCCATGTCTAACCAAGAACTACACACATCTCCACCCTCTGTCTGGTCTTCGCTTGACTTTGCCATGCCGAACAAACTCCTCTTTCTTCATTAAGATTGCGGGTGTTTAATAAGAGTCTGAATTTCAAGGGCAGCTTTTAATTCTAGTTAGAATGTATTACCCCCCTTCACTTTGAAAGTCATAACGGAACTTTGGGAAATTGCTATTAGCCAAGGGTGAGATAGGTTCTGGCTGGTTTGCCTGCTCCTATATTTTTATATATTCTTGTCTTACTTTATTTTATCCCCCCCCTGCCCCAACATGTTCAAGATTCTCCTTTTATTCTGTGACCTAAATATACAATCATCTTAACCGGTGCTGTTTCCATGGCAATCATTCGTGGTAGATAAGGGTACACACTAAAAAATCAGTTTCTTTCATTAGCAATTTTCTTCTCCCCCTCTCTCCCAAGTCCAGGCTTTCACCGAATGGTGCCCTCTGGTGTTCAGTAACAAGAAGCACACTACTTTGCATAGGGCAAGAATATCGTTTTTAAAACTTTGAATTTCCATTATAATATGAAATGGACAAAAGCAAGAAGACTTTTAATTAGTGTATTTTAAGCAAAGAGATTAGTAGAAGACATTTATTGCCTGCACATATTAAGTGTTGTTTACCAGGTAGAA